GTAACGTGTTTCGTTACTGAAGACGCCGTAGAGATGGTTAACTGGGTTTATTTAACAACCTACAAATAACGGCTATAATTACTTATCTCACAGTTGCGGGGTTTCACACTTTATGACCCTAATCGCATTAATCTGTCAACACTGTTGCGGGGTTTCACGATTTATAACCCTATGCGCAAATCAGTTCGCGCTGTCTTCAGTGGTCTACACGTTTACAGTAGGGGAGCTGTGTATCACTGTATCACACACACTCCCAATTACACAATTACACACACGTCCGGTTCTTCTTTCCGCGACGGCTGCTATACTCCACTATAGTCGGCTGACTGGAGAACTGTCGATAACACACTCGCTCGTCGACTACTTAACTCAGCGATGTCCACATTATAACTCTCTGGTAGCCACATTAGAACTGACCGGCTGATTTTACGTTTTGACTCGGCGACTGTTACTTTATAACTGACTGGTAGCTGCTCTGCTGTTCCTTATATATCCGCCGTGGTGCCTGTTCCGTTCCACGTCACAGTAGGAAGCAGTTCCGCGTCACCGCGGAGGGGAGTGGCGGGGCGGGAACTCGCCTATTACCGTTGTAACGCGAACGTTACATTACCGCCACGTACCGCTGGGGAGGTAGGGGTGATCCATGGCTCAACGTGTCACAATATTAATATCTGTACTGCAGAAAGTAAGGACAAAAGTTGCGACCAGTGTAAACTGTGCACATATAATGTATAAGCAATAAGAAATTGACCAAAACAGAAAATACTACTACCAGCATTCATTCATGTTCTAACAGCAGTACATTTTGGTTGCTTCATGGTTTTCCTTGGCTTCTCCAGTTGAACACTGGGATAGCACCTAGAAAAAGGCCATGACTGCCTTCTACATTTACCTACTCAACATTATTGATTTTCCTTATCTCATTTGGGAAACCCATACGCAGAGCTCCAGAGAGACAACATTAATTACATAAAATTCACACATCCATGGTCCAATAGCAGTTTTTAGCTTCATACAGGTATTTCTTTGGTGCATGTTTTAAATCTATAGAGCTGAACCCTTCTTGAGAAGGTGACAGTTGTGCACCTACTTCAGAACTTTCCAGAATTTTATGGAACCCAAAGGTTCAATACCATGTTCACAAGAGCCCTCCGCTGATCCCTACCCTGAGCCATATCAATCCAATTCATGCCATCCAACCCAGACCTCTGGATCTGTAGCCAGGAACTCTGACCACTAGACCATAAAGTTCGCACTAACTTCGCCAACAAGCGGTGGTTGCTCATTTGGTATAGTTCACTTGCAGACTAAAACCACAGAGTTTGTTTTAATTGTACACCAATCCCCAATACTTAAATCATGCAGTGACACGTCATGAACAGCTTGAAGATTTTCTGTGTTCCAGTATCTGTTATTTTGGCTGTTTATATAGCCACTTAAACTGAACCATGCCTGATCAGAATAAGGGATAAATTGTGGGTCAGGAAGTCCATTGAATTCCTATTCAAGAAACCGCTTACAGCTGCTTCTCAGTCAGGAGGCAGAAGACTGCATATAGCTGTAGATTTGTAAGACTGTAAACAACTTTGTATAAACATGGTCTCTACTTCTAGCAAACCCATACTGAAGAGCCAGAAGATAAAATGACTTCTCTGCCTTGCTTCTAATCAAGTACCAGTGTCTGAAAGTTTTTTTTCTGTATGTCTTTTTCAGTTTTTTTTTTTTCCAGCACTGATCCCATGGCATGTAATTTTGTTATGATATTGTTAATCACTGTTTTATGCAGTACTGTCAGGATACTGCCTATGGAAATTTGTTGCATTTCTTCTTGAATAATTGTACGAGAGTATTGTAGGTTGGTGGCTCAGAGTTAACATGGGCTTTATTTTTTTCCTGGAAACATGGTGACCAGGAAAATTAACTCTTTATGAACAGTTGGTGGCAACACTGAACTCATTGCCTGGCAGCTCGTCATGCATCCTTCTTCTGCATAGTGGTACTAGCAAAAGCTGGTGCCAGAGCTTCTTGTTAGCTCCTACTCTAGAAAAGTGCTCTGTCATCATATTCAAGGTGAAAGAGTAAGTGAAACCAGCAGAAGTTATTCACAGGTTAAATGCACAGTATGGGAAAGAGACCCTGTCATGTTCAAGTGTCTGTGATTGGTACAATTTTCTGAAGGTCTAAAAATTCGAGGCACAGCTGTCACCTGGCAAGAAGAAGAAAGGATATGGGAAACTGTCAAAGATCATCCTGCTGCATGACAGTGCTAATCCACATGTACCATATTTTACAAAGGCAACATTGGTAACTGGGCAGGGGAATCATGAACCACCTTCCTTACAGCTGTGACTTAGTCTCCAGCAGTGTTCATTTGTTTGGACCATTGAAAGTACGCCCAGGAGGACAGATATTTCAGACATTATGAACTCAAATGATGTGTCCTGAACTGGCTGTGCAGTGGGGATAAAGCCTTCATGCTGCTGGCATCAGTAACTTTCCAGAATTATGGGAAAAATATGCTAGTTTAAAGGAAGAATACCTTGAAAAGGAAGACAATTCTGGCACATATTTTCTTTTTGAAAACATGAAAGTCCATGTCAACCTTAGACCACCCTTGTATATGAATAGTTTTTTTTTTTTCATTTTTTTTTTTCATTTTTCATTTTTGAACTCTGTATTTTACAACACTGCAAACCGTATTTGTTGTATCTCAAGGATAAACCAGCAAATGTTGGGTGATGAAGCAATGGTTCAGTGGATAGGTGTGGGGAAAAAAATTTTTGCTGGCTGGTCTAAGTTTAAATTGGATTCCCTGTATAATGGCCAAACATCTGCCTGTGCATCCCACACTTTTTCTGCCAAACAGTTCCAAATAAAAAATGGTAAATATGAAATAATGTTCCACCTTGAGAGTCATCCCCAGGATAGTTACTGAATTCTTTTATATTTTGGAAAGTAAGGAAAGTTATACATAGGGTATAAAAATTATCCTGTTTTTCCAAACTCTATATTGTAGAAAATGCTAAATATAAAAAACATACCTTTTGGTGAGCTATCTTTGGAAAAATAACAATTTTTTATTCGGTCTTTTGGGCACATGTTTCTCATTCTATGGACAAATGTATATTTGTGCTATTTAAAAAAGTTACATTCTGTATGACACATGGGACATTATGCAGTTCTTGAAGTTGCTATTGTCAAGTGTATGGGTGACTTACAAGGTGGGTTTTGGATTGGTAATTGGATTTGTTGGACTCTTGTACAATCACTCGTAATCACAGTAAATTACAATAACTCACAATAAATCTTTAGTGAAATTCTTCTTACATGACTGCCTAGAACTCAATTCTGATAGGACTCCCTCTCTTTACTACTGGCTTCTGCTTAGAGTCAGATTTACTTTACGACTGACAGTTTACCGCCAGTTAGTTCATCTTGGTGACAAGCCCTTTGAGATTCATGACCAGTAATTTTTTTTTTCCCAATTGAACACTTGCAGTCATAGTCCTTATGTAATATCCTCTCTGATGAGAAGGGTTTGCCATTTACAATTTCTGCTGGTCTCACCAGCGCAGTCATTCTCATGTCTTGAGTCCCGCAGGACTCGTAACCACATATTACTGTCTCAGCTTCAAGATTCCCCCAACCTGGAGTGCCAGGTCCCCATATTTATGTCCCCCAGGAAAAGGGTGGCCCTGTTGTACCCCTATTTATTGGGTTCCCTTTTCATCACCTCCTAAGACTCTCACTGGCTTCTACTGTCCTGCCAAATACTTCTTATAACCACTTTACATGGACCCCATCTGTTTCCTAGAATGCACATCTACTGGTCTGGTACCTAACAATGGATATCCTTCTGTTTTTGAGTGCTTGTTTTTGCAGGAGTGTGTTTATAGATCTGTTGCCTAGCAGTGAGTCTATATGTCACAATGAAGGATCTGCTGAGTGGAAAGGAATAGTTCAAACTATATTGTGGGGTAATATAGGCATATTTTCATTTTTATTTCTTTTAAGATAACTGGATTGACTTGTCTGTTCAAATAGTTGAAAGCCTGACATGCCATTTTAATTTTGGAATATTGTTTTCTTTATATGGAATGACCTGTTGTACAGGCATTGTCATATGAAGGTCATGAAAATTACATGATGTGGGTCCAAGAACTTGGAGTAGTTAAATGTATTTAGCCACCATGAACATTGAATGTAATTTCTGAAATTGCTTTGCAGATTTTTCTGCGTGGACATTAGTCACATTTGTATTCTATATCATTGGTTTTGATTTAATCACCTTCACACTGTTAAGAAAAATGTAAAAATTGATGAATGTTTCATTTAAGCATCTCACTTATTTTGTTCATTCTTTTCTGCTGGACCAAAATAATACAAGCATCTTGTTCTCTGAGACACTGTTGATCTATTCTTCCCTTACAGTTGAGATGCAGCTTGGAACCTGCATAAAACAATGGGCCAAACCATATATATACATGTAGGTTTTCAGACAAGAGTAGAAGATAAAAATTCAGAACTGAATCAATATTTTCTACTCTGTTTCCTCATGAATATCAATATTTGCAGTAATATGTATGTTCTATATCCAGGTCACCAGATTATAGCACCAATCCCCCTCGACCTGGGATGTTACAAACTCCAGAACATCCTTACAGTGAAAGCAGTCATGGTAGTGGGATTGGGGGTCCAAGAAAACTTCCTACAGTAGCAACGGCAGCTTCTGCAGTAGCAACTGCAGTAGCAGGAAAGGGGCGGGGTGGGGCAAGCAAGCCTGGTGGAGAAAGCAGTAGTGGTAAGAGTTTTGCATGTACTGTCTGTGGAAAAGGCCTGGCACGCAAGGACAAGCTTGTCATTCACATGCGAATCCATACTGGGGAGAAACCTTACGTGTGTGAGGTGTGCACCAAGGCATTTGCACGTCGTGACAAGTTGGTTATCCACATGAACAAAATGAAACATCGCACGCCATCAAACATAGCTCCACTTGGAAAGCGTGGTGTAGTTGATCGTGCAGCAGAAGTCAAACCTGTGAAAACTGTGGAGAAGGAGGCAAGCACCTCTGTTCAAGCCCCACAGGCACCTGGTGTTACTTGGAGCTGTGAGCTGTGTGGACGTGTTTTTGGCACTCGTGATGAGTGGACTGCACATGCTAAAGGACATTTGGAAGAGAAGATGTTGAGTTCAGTGCACCAACAGCAACAGCCATTGCAGAATCCAAGCCAACTTGGCACTGGGTGCCCCAGTGGCATGGCTCCAACACCCTATTTCCCCCCACACGTCCAACCATATGCAGGTGAGCGCCACTTCTGCCTTGTATGCCGACAAGACTTCGGCAATAAAGCTGATTTCATGTTTCATGTGCGTAGTCATTTTGAAGGCAAGCCACCAGATTTGGACCTCTTGGCACGTAGTTGTGGAGGCCTTGTTGATAGTTCTGGCCTTTGCACGTAAGCAAGAATACAATTTTATTCTTCATTACAGCATTGGAGATTCAAGATAATGAGCTGTGACTAAATGTTATGCTGAAGTTGTCTCATACACATTAATTGAGGAATGTTCTAAAGTGTGTTAGGATACAAGAGCATTTCCTTGGAAGTATTAGTGAGGATATATATGTCTGACATCGTGGTACTTCTGAGACCATTATTGTATCTCTTACCAAGCCATTAATCTGGTAAAAGTTCTGTTCCCCCAGTATATATGTATGGTCTGTAGACTGATTTGAATCTTTGCTGCACAGCTGTGACACTCTACCTCATTCTTGGCTGACGTGAACACAATTGGAAACAATGACAATACAACTCTTAATTCCTCTCACTGTATATGAACAGCCCTGAGTATTAACCATTTTAGGCTAAAGAAAATGATTTATTGTTAATTTCACCCTGCTGCTTTTCTGTTGACAGATATTTGTTTTTATCATAAAGGCAGTTAAAATTTAACATAAATGTATAAAAACATTTTCAGAAACTGCTGAAAATATGTTGCTTGTCTATTTACATGGTATAAATAGGTAATGACTACATTTGAAAATAAACCTTGTAGGTTTAATTTGAATGGAGCTGTAATTCCAGTGACACAATCAGACATACAATGAGAAACTCTTTTTATGTTAAGTAATCATGGTCAGATCATGTTCTTACAATTGGTCACAGTTCACACCTGGCTGTCACTATTCAGTATCAGTAAAGAAGAGTTCGGGCAGCATCTAAAGAACAGTCTTAATAGAGTGCATCCTGTTGTGTGTCATAAATAAGATATACAGGAGTATATAAGGTATGCAGTCTACACAATATTCTGTATTTAAAAACAAAGAAGGCACTACTTTATCAACATTTGCCTTTATTATGTTTTTACAGGCTCAACATGTTTCAACCCTTACACCATGTCATCATCAGGCGTACAATGCTCCAGGATCCGTATTTGAAGTATTAGATGATAATTAATTGCAATTCAACAGCTCAAACTGGAGCATAGTATATGCCTGATGATGACCTGGTGTAAGGGTTTAAACATGTTGCATCTGTAAAAAACATAATAAAAGCCAACATTGGTACAGTAGTGTCTTCTTTGTTTTTTAAGTACAGAATATTGTTGTGTAGACTGCATACCTTATATACTTTTGTATATGTAAAAAACAGTTTACTGAAATATTTGTGTTTCAAGATTTTATAAGAATATGAATGTTTCTCTGAAAAAGGATCCGTTCTTAGGCATCATCTGATGACTGTCTGGGCTTGATCAAATTTAATGGAAAAGTTACACTTCAGTACTTTTATCCCAGTACGTTGCTCTCTACTGGTTCATGACAATTTGATATTCATTTCTATTATACAGATCTCTGGGTTAATATACCTTATGTTAGTTTGTGTATTGTAGGAATGAAACAAGATGATGGGTGCCTGTTGCACAGTATCAAGGGTTGGCAAGTGACGAGAGATAAATCAGCCATTCAGTCTTCAGTACTCATACTGTCCATTTTCTTTCACTACTTCTGCAATTTATTGTAAAGATTATGGTCGTCTGGGTTATGACACCATGTTGTTTGGTAGATTTTATGTCAGCATGTTGAAGGAATCTGCTGCCTCCTTTGTCAGGGTAGAAGAAAATGCTGAAGGAGGAGATGGTAGGTTCTTCCTAACATTGGTAGCTGTTGTCAAACTGCATGATGTCACTTCCCAGAAGACCATGTTCTTAATACCATACTTTGAACCTCAGATTCCATTTTACATTTTTTGTTAAAGTTAAGTTTTTAGGCCATTTTTTGTTTGTTTTAATGTTATTTTAGTGAATTTTCTGAAGTGGGAGACAAAGGAACCAAGCATCAGATTTTGTGTCCAGACAAGCTAGGCTGGTTATGATTTCAATTTAGGACAATCATTCAGGTAGACCATGCAGTATTATTGTTACCTAGCAGCATTCTGTCTTGGCACATGAAATGGTCATTGATCTGCTACCATGTTTATATTTTGATATAGTATGGTTGCAGTTAATTCTCATGAGGTTGTACAGGTGAAATCAGTTAATATATTGCCTCAAATTCACGATTATTTGGTGTCAGAAAATGTTTGAAATCTTTGAATTTCTCATAGTCAGTATTTCAGTACATACATAGCGTGTATCAGAGATGGTATTCAGTTATTTCATATTTGAAGTACTTTATTTACTGTCAGAATTTAAAATCATGCCTACCTGTCTTTATTAATTATATTTTCATGTAATTCAGAAACAGTGAATTGTGAAATACAAACTAAACTGCTTTGTTTTAATACTGTTTTGTCCTTTGTGTCACATTTAGAATGAATAAGCTGTGTGTTTGAAGATTGTAGGTTTTGACTCAGATTTGCCATTGACATACATAACCTTGGAAAGTATATCATTGTGACAGGTCTTATTAGTAATCAGTGATCTTGATGTGGATTGCATTTTATGCATATTATATGGATGAAGTAGAAGAAGAGAAGGAATGCATTTTTTGTTGTTGTAGTTACTGAGATATGTGTCATTGTGTTCAGTGTTCTTTTATTTTGCCTGAAATTTGTATGCATTCTGTGCAGTAAGTTATGTGTATACATAGTGAAGAAGACATTTAATTTCCACCTGTTGAATGGTTTTCAGTTAAGTATGATGTCTATATTATAAGTTATCAGGAAAATTTAATTTTGATTTGTATTAGTGTAATATAACTTTTTAGTTTCCACATCTCCCAAATCAGCCTATCGCATTTCTCTCAGAAGCAGTTCTTCATACCAGAAACTAATGCAGGACAATGTAAAGAACATTAAAATGACCACCTCTACTGGAGACTTTTTTCAGTATTGTGAATGTGTAACAAAAAATATGATTTTCCGGTGATAATATCAGTAGTGTGATTAGCTTTGCAATAATTATGCAGTGAACAAAATGTCAAGGTCTATGAGGTATGTGAATAACAAAAATTGCATTTGGAATATGTGTGCCCCATTTTGCTGTAATGTTTCATGCTGCTTAAATCCGGATACAATTTTCGATGAGAGCTGAAGTGGGGAATGCAGAATGTTATGTAGCAAGGAACTGTGAAATTTCTGTACCCTATTTATGTAGGTCATCCACAAAGTAAAGATCATTTGGTGATTGAAAAAAGAAATGAATAAAATTAAAAAAAATCATTTTACATCATTACTACACACCTTAAGCTTCCTATCCAGTCTGTCCTGGGGGTAAAGTGCTCGGGGCGTGAAGTTGACCACTCACCTCCAACTAGTGCCGAGGTCAAGAAAATGTGGATCTATACATCCACTCCCCCATGCGCTCTCATTGTGTAGTGCTTAATTAGTTAAGCACAAGGACAACTTTATTTTTTTTTACTTTTACTATAGACCTTAAATCATTTTTCTGCAGAGTCCCCATTAAGATGCAGACACTTGTCATGTCATGTGACAAGTTTCTGTATGCCTGCATTGTAGATATCTGCTGGTAGTTCATTGAACCAGTCGTTAACTCTCTTCTTCAACTTCATTGCTACCCATGTGTGTTTCACCCAAAAACTGCTTCAGGTGTGTGAACAAATGAAAATCACTTGGAGCCAGGTTGTCACTGTAGGGAACTTGATAAAGAAACATCCCAGTCAAAGTCAGCAAATACGAGTAGCACATGTATGCTAGTGGTTTTTACTTTCTGGATGACCTTCGTAGTATTGTTGGGGTACTGAACTCAAGGAGGGATATGTTCAGTATGTACCTCAGATTGGAGAAATAAATATGCATGGAATTTTGTGAGAAGTGCTAAGAAAGAGCCACTCTGAAGACCAAGAAGGAGATAGGATAATGAATCTTCATGAAGTGTATTGTGAGGTTACAAACTTGAAGTTACTTAGACTCACGTTTAAGGTTTAGCAGAAGTAAGTCGTGTGAGAGTTCTTACTTCCTCACAGAATGTGGTATTCCATGTTTTGGAATCTAAAATCTGGTAAATCGTAGTAGATCTGGTGTGGTTGAAATTGAGACAGTACATAATTTTAGTTGCTTTAATTTATTTACTGTTTGCATTATATTTTATGATTGTATTATACTGTAGTGTGTGTATTTTGACCCTGCAGTTAGATTTTAGGAAACAAGGTATAGTTTGAGCATCAGTGAACTCTAAATTGGGGTTTGAAAATTTATTTTCACAAGAAAACTAACATCACACTTGACTTCCTTACTTTGGTTTTTGTCATTTTATGATGTGGTTGTTATGTTTCATTAAGCATACTTTATTTCATGTCTGTGTATGGTTTTAAGCTGTATTTGCCCATGCCATAGCTCAGATGGTTAGTCACTGACTTTCCACCATGATGGCCCAGATTTTATCCCATGTCATAATGTGAGGCTTGTGGAGAAGTGGCAATGGAACAGGTGTCCTCCAAGGACATGGCTTCCCCTGCCAGCAACTCCATATTCATCCATTCTCCTATCATTGACGCTTTATAGTATGGGTACTGATAGCGTTTTACAAATAACCAGCTTAAAAAGAAACACAAATTGAAGCTGTATTTGACAGTGCCATTTGTTTTGGTTTGCTTGAAATAGTATTAAATACCTGTATGTATTAACAGAAGCACAGCCTCTGAACAAGATGTTCCTAAGTGTAAATGATATTGGAAATACTCTGTATTCCTAGCATAGTTCCTTAGACGAGCAGTAATTTGTATCAGAAAAGAAGACAATTTCAGAGGGATTGTCGCAAGCCAGTGTGTTTGATTCTATGGTATCGTACTAATGACTTTTATAGTTCATGTCTGTATTTTCATGACTTTTGTGATGTGTTTTGAAACAAAGATGGTGGAATGTACTTAATACTCATTAATTTAATATGTGCCATAACAATGCACATAATAACTACTAGTGTAGGCATATTGTAATCACTTTTTTGTCTGAAATGTAGTAGCATGTGGTGTAAGATCTAGTGTGAGACTGGAATGTACATGTCAAGAGTGACAATGTAGTTATAAAGGCCATATGGCAAGTCGTATCCATTTTCAGAAGACTAAAGCCATATTGTTATTGTGATGATGCCTGCCTTTTGTAGTTGGATTTTAGATCCTCTTAGTTTTGACTATGAAGAATAGAATTTTCTACCAACTACATGGCATCGCATCCCAGAAGATAGTACTCAGCCTTCTGTAGGTATTTGTTCCAGTGCTAATGCTTCAGTATTTGACTTTCCACTGTTTAAGTATAGTTACTCTTCCCACTTAACGAACATTCCACTTATAAACATTTCTGTTACAGATGTAGTCCTCATATGAATATGCAGATAGGTATACAAATGCCCAAGCAATTGCTCCATATTTGTACCTATTCATTTCTGCCCCTGAAGCCCAACTGACTAAAACAGTACTCCATGGTAAAGTAAGAACTGAGTTACAAACAGCAAAGATGTTGCCATGTGTATGAGTGACTATAGATGGGGTTTGTGATGGTAATTGGGTTTATTGAACACTTACAGATCATAACTGCAAGTAACTATGGTGCTCTCCTAATTCACACACT